TTCAGTTATAATTGAACTAAAAATATAGGAATATTTTGTTTCTCTACGAAATATGTAGCGTAATTTCATCCATTTTCTTACAAGATAAAATCGTTAAAATACAAATATCAAGATTGTAAGAAAAAAACCATGGAACTCTCCAATATAACGATGACGAAGCAATCCTGGTGCCAGTGTGATTAACCCTTCTCCCTTGCGCTCAAGCAAGCAGTATAATTTCTGGAACTCTTGCATTTTTTCATCTAGATCTACCTCTGTTAAACACGTTACATTATTTTAAAAATATTTAAAATGACGAACAGGAAACATGTCATACTTCTCGAGAACGTGCGTATAATGTTTTTTCCGTAAATGCCATCACTTTGGTATTTGAATTTGAAATGATTAAATATTTATAGTTATAATGCTCAGGATAGTCAGATCGACTTAATACTTCGATCCCCCACTTGATCGACTTGCTGGGTCGATCTCCCACTTGATCGACTTGCTGGGTCGATCTCCCACATGATCGACTTGCTGGGTCGATCTCCCACATGATCGACTTGCTGGGTCGATCTCCCACATGATCGACTTGCTGGGTCGATCTCCCACATGATAGACTTGCTGGGTCGATCTCCCACTTGAACGACTTACTGGGACGATCCTCCACCTGAACGACTTGCTGGGTCGATAACCCACTTGAACGACATGCTGGGTCGTTGCTTCACTTATGGATTATGGTTGGCTTAACAAGTATCATAGTTTACTTACTTGGATCGCGGTAGGTTTAACAACTTTCATTGTTGGCTCAAGAAGGATATTATTTGGCTCAGCAAGAATTTGGTTGGCTCAACAAGGATATTTGGCTTAACATGGATCATAGTTGGCTCAACTAGGGTCATAACTTAACAAGGATCATGGTTGGCTTAACAAGGATATTGGTTTTCTCAACAAGTATATTGTTTTTTTCAACAAGTATATTGGTTTTCTCAACAAGAACATTGGTTTTCTCAACGAGAATATTGGTTGGCTCAACAAGGATATTGGTTGGCTCAACAAGGATATTGGTTGGCTCAACAAGGATATTGGTTGGCCCAACAAGGTCATGATTGGCTTAATAAGAATCCTTGGCAAGAAGACTCCCATTTCCTGCAATTTAACATACACTGCATTCACGAGACTAATCACCATACATCAAAGCTCTCTAATAAATTAACCTTTTAGATTAGTGTGAGTAGAAATGCCTTTAAGAAACATTGTTTGATTTTAAATCGTAACTCTAAAGACAAATAGATATTCAAAGAAATGTGGACACCAAAACCGAACTAAATAAAACAGTAGAAAAATTATCGTCCATTTACAACTTATTAACATTCTGGACGTTATAAATAATAACTGATATTGTTGAATATTTCTTGCGCCAGTATAAATATTTTTGACGCCTCATATTTCGGAAGGCGGCAATTTGACAATAATCTCTCTTGACTAGTGAGGAAAATTCAATTACGTTGCACCAAAAAATATATTTCCAGATCTTTAACGAACCACATATTTAAATATTACTGTCATCTGTTGTACATACGAGGTAGAACTAAAGAATTCACCGAAGTATACAGTGTAAGTATTCAGCATATTGGCGTGTTTTGCAATTTGCCGCCTACACGAGCAGTCGAGGAAATAGTATATCTGCTTTGACAACATAGTATGAGGTTCAATATCACTTCAGCTAATATAGAATGTTTCTTGTTCTGAGAAGACATGAACTCAATGATTGAGTGACATGTTATTTGCTTCTTGTTCGTAACCCAAGTGTATAGCGTATTCATTTTATTGTGGTTTGTGACTTTTAGTGGAACGGTATTGCTTCTGTTCGTAGTAAAGGCCAAACAATACACAGTTAAGCTAGAGAAAATATACGTCTCGTTATTAATAAATGTGACCAAAAAGAATTCGGGCGTTCTTCAACACACGCTGCATAACAGCAATTTTACTGTAGTATCTGTTCGGACTGTGACATCAATTAAAAAAGGATTTGAAGCCTGTGGGGTAGCCTTAAGTCCTGCCGGTAAGAAAAGGCCAAATTGGGAAGATACAAAATTACACATTGATGACATCCACTTATTGCTTATTTGTTTTCCTTATTCCCGTATGGTGTTTTAATTCTTGCCTATGGATACTTGGCGTAATATATTTTGAACAGCTAGTAGTTGCAGATCAGGCGAGGGGGGGGGGGACTTTCAAGAACATTGAGCGCATTCCCCAGCCTCGCAAACGAGTCAGCACCCAACAATAAGAATGAGGTGGCTCGGGGATGAACAGACGTAGTAGACACGTGGACATGGAGCAGGAAGTGTAAAGCGGAGAAAAACACCGAGTAAGCGAGCCCATCTGTGAATTTGGTGTGAGCATTCTCCACGTCGTCTATTTGCGAACCACTGTCCCAGTGCCATATTGGACTGGGAAATCCCGGGGCCCCCTCCCCCACGGCCACTTTACGCGAGTCCAGGCTCGTTCGTGCCCTAGTCCCTGCTCTATCCCTTTGCGGCAGGTGGCGATGATGAAAGACCAACCACCAATGCATTTTGACCAACAACCTGCTGAATAGTTTTCACAATCGACAGACTGAATCAGACTTTCAGAGAGATTTTCTCCGTAAAATATAAAGACGTTTCACAAAATCTTGGAAACATAAACATCAAAGTGAAGATTCGATGGATTATATAGTACGATATAAGCAATACTATATTGTACATACTTTGGTTTTTATTCAAGAAAAAAGCGAGGAAGGGGAAGAACATAACAACAAATTGAGATCGTAAGAAATTTTACAGATCCGAAATATGACCACGGACTGTAAACAAACAATGGCGAATGTTAAGAACGAGAACGACAAAATAAAAAATTTAAGAGATGCTATACTACTATTACAGACGAGCAGGTAAAAAACGGTCGTAATGTAGTTACATAAACTATCTTTTTCACATATTTCCCTGTTCTTTTTCCTTTTCGAATTTACCATTTGCATTACTCAAAAAATAATTGGATACCGATTTTTAACTATTTTTTAAAAAAAAAGGTAACTTAATTGTGTAAATGTCAAGCAGTTATTCCATCTCCCTCACAGTCTTATTTTAGATTTATGTTTGACTTCTAAGATTTTCTGTTATCACTTCCAAACCTTAGGTCTAAAGATCCTTTCGTTGTCAAATACGTAAAAAAATTCGAGCGGAGTATGACGCACGAAGCTCTTTATTCCTAACAACTTCGATTTGTTGGATCTCCAAAATGTTCGTTTTATCTGCTTTAAAAAAGAGTTTCAATTCGTGGTTGAATCTCTTTTCACAAGTAAAAGAAAAGCCGAAGGCTAATTAAAATGTTTTCGTACTTTTGGACAAATTTAAAAAAATTTTGCATTATTCTTGGCTGTCTGGGGTGGGGGACGTTCCGCGGTCGAAGGCTGTTTTGCCGACGTTCGCGGGACCATTTTGTCGTCTTTCCTCAGGCTGGTTCCATACATTAAGAATGGTATGGGGACATGGTAACAAGACAGGGACAAAGATTGGGTCGAAAAACGGTCAGGCAACAATTCTTTCCGACGCGGGGGCGCTCAACCGGCAAGCCAGGGATTCATGCAAACAAATTTTGGACTTCTTGGGGCTTGAGGGAAAATTCCCCTACGGAACTTCCAAATTTTAAAAAAAGTGGGTAAAATTAAAACCCGCTCTGGGGGGCCGGAAAAAAAAGGGGGGGCCCGTTTATCATGGAACTCCAACTTCCGCAAAACAAGGGCATCGCAAAAAATAAGAGGGATTTAAGTATGAATTTTTCATGGGGAAACATTTATCCCAACCTTTAAGTTGGTAAGTTTATTTTTTTTTGATATAAAAATAAATTTTGTTATTTTTTAATAATTTTGTATAATTTTTTTGATGGAATAAAATAAAAATTTCCCTGGGTGAGGTCAATTTCATACAGAACTTACGTAAAATTGAATGTTAAAAGGGGTGTTAATGATGAATTTGGAATGGGATGATAAAACTCCTAGATTTTTGTTTGCTTGGCATTTTGGAGCTGTGTTTTTCCTTTCCATTTCTTGTTTTATAAAAAGTGGGGATTTTCTAAAAAAAAACGTTTATCGTGAATTCGAACACCAATGAAAATAAATAATATGGGAACTTTCAAAAACGAGTTTAAAAACTGGAGGAAATCTTTTTCTTATGAATCTTACGGAATCTCTC